TAGGCTCTGAGTATTAATTTTGCAATGTTAGTACAAGTAAAAGAGGGTATTTCTTCATAATGAGATCTTTTGCTTAAATTGCCATACTTATCTTTCCTTTTGTTAATGCCTAAATATGTCTATGATAGTTATTCTGTTGCCATTTCCTATATTATTATGACTGATCTGCCTTGTTTCCTGTTGATTTTATGTGCTTTATTAAAAAGATTGGTTGGTAATATTCAGATGAATTTCCAGTCCCCTAAACTAAAAGTGTCTTCAGATGTTCATGGTGCCATAAAAGAATTTAACAAAATTTCTGGATAAGTTTTTCCTATATTTTTATCATTCCCCCTTGAAAACAAGATGACTTAGTGGTTCCCAGACATTTTATTTATTCATCTTCTTTAACTCTTTGGCTATGGAAGAATTATTCCTTCATTCTTTCATGAGTTGGAAAATCAAAAAAAGTTATCTTTGATTCTTCTCAACTGGAAATTCAAAGCCACTATCCCTTCCTTAATATGCCCACTCACTAAACAAATGGTGCTCTCTTTATTTTTAGTTATTCTTCCTTCATGCAATATATCCTAACTTCAGTTTCCCTCTTTCCTTTCTTACAAGTTCCTCCCACTCTCTACCTCCCCTTTCTCCCAGATCCATTTCTCCTCCTTTTCCCTTCAGAAAAGAGCAGACCTCCCAAGGACATCAACCAAACATGACATAATAAGTTACAATAAGCCTAGGCACAAACTGTCATATCAAGACTGGACAAGGCAATCAAGTAGTAGGAAAGGGTCCAAAGAGCAAACAAAAGAGTAAGAGGTATCTCCACTCCCACTGTTATGAGTCCCACACGAATACCAATGCAAACAACCACAACATATTTGCAGATGGCCTTGCTTAGAACCATATAGGCGCCATGATTTTTGGTTCAGTCTCTATGAGTCGCCATAAGCCATGCTTAGTTGAGTCTGTGGACCATGTTTTCCTGTTGTGTTCAACCATTCTGGCTCCTACAATCCTTCCTCTTCCTCACTCATGGGTCTCCATGAGCTGTGCATAATGTATCTGCTCCTATCAGCTGCCTGAGAAAACCTCTCTGATAATGATTTGGCTAAACAAATATCTATGAGTATAGCAGAATATCACTAAGAACCATTTCATTGACTTTTTTCTAGTCATATTTAATTCTATCCTTGTTCTCTGAGCCATGCAGCTTCCAGTTCTGGCCATCTAAGCAATGTCATGTATGAATGCCCTCTTATAACATGGGCCTCAAATTAAACTAGTCATTGGTTGGATAGTCCCATAAATTCTGTGCCATCATTGACACAGGAAATCTTGGAGGCAGGATAGATTGTAGGTTGAAGGTATTGTGACTGGGATGGTGTCCCAGTCCCACCACTGGATACAGAAAACGGCCGATATTATTACTTACCAGGTGTCCTTGCCAGGGTAACCATAATAGGTTCCAGAACTAGATTTGCACATTGCCTCCCAAATGTTCCCCTGTTGTCTTTTTCAGTGGACATTTGAGGGTATATCACAGTGGGGAAAGTACTTACTAACACACAGAAAGTCCTGGACTCATTCAATTTTCACCTTGTAAAAACAGCAAAAAGAAAAAAAAATATATATGGAGATAAAGAAGTAATTCATGTTTGTTTTCCAAATGAAAAATTACTGCTTAACTTTCTGAACAGAGCTCTCTTCCCTATATTCAAATCTCTTAATCAAATCTTGGTCATAGCTTGTAAAAGTTTATGTTTGCTACATAGTAATATTGCATATATTAGTTATAGAATGCTATAATTTAACCATTTTATTTAATTATGAAAACTAGTTACTAAATTCAAATAATACTGACAATACATATGATCAAACTAAACACACATAATAATATTGCCCATTTTTCTTTTATTTATACAATTTTTCTGGTATATTTTTATCATAAGATATGAATCTAAATACATTTTACAACTTATGGTTTATTCTTAATATCATTGTCTTTCCTTACATGGCCTGTAAAGTTTCTTTGTGAGCTTACTTCTAATAGAAACTGGTCTTGGAAATTCTTTTGCTTTTGATTGTGAGCTTGTCTTTGTGTGTCTTTTTATCTCCTATGGTCCTTGAGATGTCATACTTTGTTATCATCTGTAATGTAAGCTTAGGTTTCGATTCCTCAAAGAAAGATCATCCAAGCAGCAAAATTTTTTGCACCTTCCTCTTAATGCTTGATGGAGGATATTTTCCAGTTTTTGCTTCAGTAGGAGTGCCGTGTTATTGTTAGTGACTTGTCTGAGACCAACGTTTCTTTTCCAATATGAAGCTACAGTTAAATATCATAGCTGACATGTCATATACTCTGATAACCCCATACTTTGTTAAACTGCATATTATCCTCCCAATCTGTATTGTGTTCCTTCCCTATTTTTCTTTATCTGACACATGGAACTTCCTGATCCATGGTTAAAAGGATAAACTTTAATTAAGAATGCATTATTAATATTCAACTTGGAATTACAATCAGACTGAGACATTGTGAAAGTGATCAGTAGTTTCTTCTACTCGTTTGGAGAATTTGTTCTTTCATGTGATTTTTTTTTAATTTCAAAAAACACTTTAAATTCTAAGATTTCAAAGCAATTTAAAATTCCAAACTTAAATTTAGCAGTTACTCTAAGTACAATTTCCATCCGGTTTAGGATTCAGGAGTGTATTTTGTTTTGAAAGCATGACCTGTAAAGCCTCTCCTGCTGTGTCACTCAGGTGTATTGAGGACAGAAGAAAGCATCTATCCCGATAGTTAAGTCATCATCACGCTACCTCAGTACCTCAATCTGCGCCTAAGTACATATGCTTTATTGCAAGTGTCACCCCCTTACCTTTAAATCTCTAACATATGCTCAAGAAATTACAGTAAGTTGGTAGGTTTACAGACACAGCAGAGTGACGTTCAGTTATAGAATATCCTCCACTATTTTTAATCAACTATGTAGAAAATATTGGGAATTTTACAATTTTTTAGTTTCCCTTAATATGTAATTCTTTTGTTGACTTGCTACTGATGGTACTCTCAGGATGATGTATTATAATGGTGATTGCACCTTTGTTTTTACTGTACTTTGCAGATTAACCCTAAATGTATTTTTCTCCTTCTTTTAATTTATTCTTTGTGTCTTTCACATCATGCATCTCCATCCCATTTATATTCCTATCTCTTTGCATCTACCCTCTGCCTTTGCATATACCCCCCAAAATAAAATGAAATAAATTTTAAGAAAAAAAGAGGGAAATTATCAGTCTCATCACAGAAGTTGTATTGTGACACCCTTTTATCTACGTAGCTTTAGTTGTAAGTGTTTATTGTAGAGAGCCATTGGTCTGGTTTGAGGACTTTGGTTTCTGCTACATTATTGATGCTGGGCCCTCACTGGGACTACTCTTGGTTATCTTGCTGCTGCCCTGAGTTGTAGACATCCTGCAACTTTGAATTTGTGGGACCAGTTCCTTTACGTGCTCTTACAGATCCCAGACGGAATAGATGTTGGGATGGGCCAACACCTAACCCTGGTTCTGGGCCTGAATAGTTGCAGGGATGGTCAGCTCTATTTTGTGATAAAAAAATACTTTTTCAAAAATATATACTAAAACCCAGAATTATATAGTTACTGGGTATGTAAATGCCCACATTAATAAGACTGAGGAGTAGGCTTTCCAATATACATAGTCCTAACAATACATATAATTTTTGTTGATTTATTTCTTCATTTGTGCTAGCTAAAATGCCATGTCACTTTTCTCACTTTTATACTAACGAATGTTAATGAGAATAAATACATATGGTTATGATTCTTTCTATATAAAATTCACTTTATTGTTTAATCTTGTGTATGTGTGTGCACCTATTAAGACTGATTAAAAATAGTGTGTGCTCTTACCACTGAGATTCTCTAGAGCACCTATTTAGTTTTTTTTTTTTTCCTCCATTTTGATGGCTATGATGGGCTTCATTTTCATGGGTCTACAGATTTTTTTAATTTATTTTTAATAGACTTATTTAGATGTTTGAATGTTATTATTTAAGTTTTAACAAATGTTTCATTTTTATGTGCATAACAATATTTTCATAATATTTTTGACTCTCTTTTAGTAATGATAAGATTTTGTTTAAATGTAGTCAAGTATGTTCATTTCTTTTCATATTATTAGTTTTGTAAAATATATTTTATGTCCAATGTCCTCCCATACTGAGAGTTTAGAGTAATCCTCTTCTAAGATTTTTAGGAATCTTAAAATGTTCTTATCTTTGAGTACTAAATTATAAAGGTTTATATTGTATATCAGAGATGACTGAGAAATAACTATACATTTGAAATAGCAGTTGTGTGTTGTGGGACTAAGGCCCAAGGAAATAATAAGAAATATGAGAAAGGAATGCATATATATGAGGGTCTTTCTTGCAAATCAGGATTGAACATAGTCAAGTTAAATCAATTTCCATTATTATGAAAATCAACATATAATTACTGAAATAAAATCTTGGATTTATTATAAAATTCTCTTCCTATCAATATAGAAACCCGAAATATGTTTAATAATGGCAGAAGAAACAGCTAAAATCATGTTTGAATTTTAAATATAGAACTATTTTGGTGAATTTAGAAACAACACAACAGTATTAGCTACTGATGTTTAAAGAAACACTTTTGCATGCATTCTATCATATGCTTTGATTTTTCTATTTTTAAGACTGATGTGTAAGGGAATGTCTTCTTTAAAAGGCAATTCACTAAATCTTAAATTTATTCAAATAATACACTGCTTCCTTAATGACATTATTACTGAGATGTTGTATCACCAAAGAATCTAGTTTTATTTTAAGTCATCTGCCATAATTACTGAAATGTAGAAAATTAAATTTTCAATTTTAAGAAGTTTTAAAATCATAATATGAAGGATTCATATTAAACTTTGTGAGGCCATATTTAATCGTCAATATTCATTTTTTTTCTTAGGAAGTTTGGGCATGTTGGCATGAATTATTGTCATACTTGGAGAAGGCAAACAAGTGGCTTAATGAAGTAGAATTGAAACTTAAAGCCACTGAAAATATTCCTGCAGGACCTGAGGAAATCACTGAGGTGCTAGAAGTAAGTGGTGAATTCATCCAAATGATCTTTGTGTGCTACCTCGAAAAGCGCTAGTGCCAAAGAGAAGACAATGTTTAAAAACACAAGGAAGAAAAATAGCTACAGGATCCTTTAGTCCTGCTGTTTCGACAAACCCTTCTGCCTTCTAGGATCCTTCCAGGTCTCAAGAAATTAATATGAAATTACTTGTCTTCTTATCTTGGATATTTAAAATCATGTCAATGAGTACTGTGTGACTTAAATACTTTATAAACAAACGTACCTTTCAAATTGTCATATACATACTTTTTATTTTAGACTTTAGATATGAAAAATTAAATGAGTTTGCACACACAAGGTATAAATTACATTATATTCTGATGTTTAATTAACCATTCATGTTGTATACATTTTGCTTAGTTTTTTTTATTATCACTAACCTGCAATAAATTAGATTGTTAGCATATTCAGTATATGTAGATCTGTAAAATAAATATAGCACCTTTGTGACTGCTCAGAGGCATTCCATAACCAAACGATTCTTGTGAAATAACAGTGTGATAAATTCTCCAGAAAAAAAAAAGACAAAGAAAACTTATCATGCTTCATTAAAAAGTCTGGCAGTCAGAATAAAGACTGGGATAGTGCAGCTATCATAGGAATTAATCTCATTTTATACTTATTAACAGACTAAATTTTTATACCACATTTTAAGTAATACTTTGAAAGAAGGTGGCATGTTCAAATTGGTTTGTGTGTCTCTCACATGTGAAAGCTAATAAAAATAATCCCCCAAAACATGAAAATGAAATAGAAAATATGGGAAAAAGAAAACTAGGAGGTGTTATAAGGGACATGAGAGGAAGCAAATATGATCAAAATATGTTAGATATATTTGGAAAATTATAAATGTCCCATTGTTTGTATAATTATAGTAGCTAATAAAATGTAGCCCATTTAGAGAAGACTGATAAGGCATCAAAGGAGAATGTTAAGGTGAGGAAGAGGAGGCCTCATTACTAATATTTACCATCTTGTTGACTGTTGCATGTAAATATTTGTTTGATGAGGGAGGTTGCTGCCAATTATTCTTACAGGCAGTTTATATTACAAAAAGGATGTACCAGTATTTGACAAGGATATAAAAGTTGTAGTACTTCCAGCTTTCCTAGCTACTAAAGATTTATATAACTGAATTCTTAATTGATATTGTTTTTGTTTGCATTTTCGTTTAAATTTATATATACATTTTAGCATATTCTTCCCACACCCCTACTTCTTCAAGATCCTCTGGGAAATGGAAAATTAGTTAACCTTTATTTAATCAGTTTATCTTTTATTTAATTAACATGTTATATACTTTATCAGGAATTAAGGAGAAAAAATTGCTCTACTAAAGGTTTTATAAAATGTACATATTTGCTACATATAATGAAATGTTACTAGAAAAATCAATACTAACATTTTTGTATTAAAATTTTGATGAGTTTTTCTTATAGATTTTAGATGTCAAAAGTACATTTTTACAAAACAATTGGGAAATAATGATATTCTGATGCTCTAGAAACTTCAGAGCAAGATATATAGAAGTTGTTCAGAATTTAAAAAGTAATAGGCCCATAAGAATGACATAAAACCCTTCTGAGAACAGTTTCATGATTTTGGAAACAACAACTGATTGAAAGAATTGGAGCCTGTATTTATCACTTATTTTATGGTTGTAAGTTCTAGTGAAATGATATTGGATTACTTATTCCCTAGAATACATAAAACTGGCATTGAGGTTATGGTTCTTTATATAATCTATCCAGAAAAATCTGTCAACGTTGAACTTTTTTTTTTCAATTAAGGATTAGAAGGCTGTAAATAATAGAAAGCCAGGAAATGGCTTGGCAGCAAACATCCCCCAAAATGAAAGGAAACATCTTTTCTCAGCACACATACATATACATGTACACAATCATACATCCAAACACAGACACAGACACACACACACACAGACACACACACACACACGCTTCACACCACAAAGAAAATTACGCAGAAATGACAATGGTCCAGCCAAAATCCCCAGGTGATTTCTGTCTGCTGTCTCTTTCTGAGCACTAAAGAACTTCATGTCATTTCTATCTACTTCCAGTCCTAAGATGTCAATGTGAAAATATGTGAAGAGTGAAGGAGTTTCTTTGAGAAGAAACGACTTATGAGCCGCTGCTGCACATATTTTCAGAAGAATCACATTATTTACATGTCACTGACCATTACAAAGGCAAACAAAGAAAAATCCAAAACAAAACAAACAAGCAAAAAGAGAGAGAAATTGAGCACTTTACCTTTTCACGTTTTAGAGCAAAGGTCATCCCTAAGAAAGTGTCATGTTTTAAAATCACAGTCTATGAAATAGTGACAAGTCAGTGAAAAAATCAAAAGCCATCCTCCCATTTTTAAAGAGTGCTCCTTCATGCTTTATTATCCAAATTAAATGTTGCTTTACACTGCTAATGTCTTAATTGTATGTAAATGAGAAAATGCTGAGCTTTGTGCATAAATTAGAAAACTTAGAAAAAGGAGAAATATTAATTATAGAAAATGTGTTTCAGTCTCTTGAAAATTTGATGCAACATTCAGAAGATAACCCAAACCAGATTCGCATATTGGCACAGACCTTAACAGATGGAGGAGTCATGGATGAACTAATCAATGAGGAACTTGAGACATTTAATTCTCGTTGGAGGGAACTACATGAAGAGGTATGGAGACAAGTGGGAAATCTCTTTAGTTTACCTTTTATAAATGCATGCCAGACAGACATGGTCTTCTCCAATAAAAGGAAAAATTATTTCAGTTTACTTCAGCCTTCAGTTTTAGAGAAGTGACTGAATTCTTTTGACATGCCTTTCATTCCTTTTAGAAATACATGAAAAGTATGGTAATTTGTTTTATTTATTGATTTTTATAGAGCTCTACATTTTTCTCTGCTCCCCTCCCTGCCTCTCTCCTCCCCTTCAGCCCTCCCCCAAGATCCCCATGCTCCCAGTTTACACAGGAGAAAAGTGTTTTTTAGCAGGAAACTGAGACATGTCAAGAACAAATAGCATGTTAACTCAATAAATTATATTATACTATGCTGTCTTGCTTAGTTACGGTTCCTATTGCTGTTATGAAAGATCATGACCAAGACAACTTGGGAAGGAAAGGGCTTGTCAGCTTAGAGTCCAACTAGGCCATACCTTTTAATTATGCCACTCTCTGGTGACCAAAAATTTAAATCTATGATCCTGTGGGGGCCATTCCTATTCAAATCACCGCATTATACATAATTAAAGGGTAATCATATATGAGGATTCACATACATGGCATGGTTTTCCTAACCAAACATAAAATAACATATGTTCCTACTGTTACATTAAGGCAAACATAGACAAGCAAATAAGGATCAATAATTAAAAGTCAAACCTGGGTTGCATAAATCAGTTGTTCCTGGGTAACATTTTAAGTTTTCCATATCCTCATGTGCGATATTGATATTTTTCCAAAGAATTTTTTAGTGAGAAAATACTTCTTTAAAGGTGTTAGGTACAGAATCAAGATCAAAATATATATTTAATAAATGTTAAGATTTTTTAAAAAATTTTGCCTGGTTTGTATGCCAGAGTGCATTCCTTCTAACAAGTAGTTGTGTACATCTATATGTGTACCATAGTTAATGAAGACAAGCATAGGAAAGCCAATAAAAATAAATATATAAAAATATATGACAATTTTAAATATAGTAAACATGTATGCTCTTACAAATTCAATGTATCTATAACAGGAATGAGAAAGCACTCCTTACAAGTTATCAAGCATTTGGATGGGTTCAAGAAACTGGTTACTCTGTGAAACCACCCTAGCTACCCTGGAACTTGCTCCCTAGAGTAGGCTGGCCTCAAACTCATAGAGATCTACCCACCTCTGCCACCCAAGTGCTGGGATTAAGGGCATGTGCCACCATGCCAGGCTGTTTTCTAAGTCTTCACATTAGGTATTTGCATATTTGCCTCAGTAATCAATTAAACACTAAATATAGCTGCAAAATAACTTGAAACTACAACAAGTAATGACTGTGTTTATTATATACATATCGACCCAATGATAACCTTGTAGTTATTTGATATTTGATAATGCAAATAAATATATCTGGTACTTTGTTGAAAGCAATATTCTTTCTGAAATAATATCCTTAAAATCTGTGATGCTGATATTTAATAATACGTTGTGAAATGAAATGTTTTCTTATAATTTTCACTTTGAAAACTTCACCCAAAGACACCGTGCTTGCATTACTGCCACTACTCCCTCCCTGTTCAAGTTTTTCTGTGTTCCTCTATCTGAAATCTATGGTAGCTGTACAAATTAACATTATTATATTATAAACATGTGTACATATATGTACAACATATGTATATATTATATATGTATGGTATGTGTATGCATGTATATATAACCTACTAGTCTACTTAGCATTGTATGCACATTTGTCCTGTGCTAACACCTTGGACTGGACATCGTATGCAGGAGGTCAGTCATAGATGATATTAATTATCCCACTTTCATCCACCATTGTCCAGCTATAACTCTTTATTTAAAGTGATACCATGGTAAAATTTCCCTGTCAACATTGGCATGTCATATGGTATTCTAATTATGCTGATCACCAAGCATATTGTGGAGATTTTCTGGATGCATTTTCACTGTCTTTCCTAAAGGACACTATCTAGTTACACGAAACTGATAGTTTGAAACCCAGATTCTAGAGTTTAAATTGGGCACTTGAATGGAAATTGTGAATTACTTAAGTAATTGAGAATTGCCGAACAAGATCAATTATATTATTCTTTGGATAATGTCACTGGCTATCTACTGAGGATATGTTATTTGATGGCTCAGAGAAAGAGAATAATTATAGTCAAGAGTCATAACTTTGTTTTTAAGTCATTATTTTTGTGGATAGAGAAAAGCATATTTTCCATTAAAAACAAAATATTTTTCCATCCAAAGATAAGCCCTACCCCATTTTCTCCTCAATTAAATGCTTATGTCAGAGGTTTGAAAGGGTTTTATTGCCTACCTAATGTTTCCTATAGCTGCAATTATGCAGAGATAAGGTAACACTCAATTGCCTGTAAAATCAATCATACAGCCAGGGATTTTTATTGCCTATGAATACTTAAAAGGGGTGTGCTCTATCCTACTCCTAATTCCAAAATGTAAAGTTGTACTCAAATAAGAAGTAAATTATTTCAATAATTTTAAAGGCATCTTTCAATCTTCTAGTTATAGAAACAATCTGAATGATGATTAACAACCCAGAAATCAGCTTCAAAGTCATACCAAGGCACATCAAAAAAAAAAAAAAAAAAAAAAAAAAAAAAACTATAGCTTTATTTTCTACTTAAATGACAAAATTTCTAAGTTGTTCTAGTATGCAACAAAATGCTTACTGATGGTAGTAATACTTGATTGGTTATCAAGGCCTCAGTACTATTCAAAATAACTGATATCATAGTCTCTTTCTTTTTTCAAATTTCTTTATGATATGGAATCTTGGGGATACCTATTCTATGCAAATGGCAAAAGTATCAAAAACAATAAGTGAGCCAAGATTTGTGAGCATTTAGATTCAAATATCTTTGTACATGCAACCTATGTCCATGAGCATTTTATTATTTTACTTTTTTTTTAATTTACTTTGAAACACGGTTTAGCCTTACAGATCACTCAGGCTAAAACTCCTAATTCTCTGGCATCACATTCACAAGTGCTAGCATTATTGTGTTAATGCAGGGACACTGATTACTCCTGTCTTATTTCTCAACTTTTAAAGAAAGCTAGATCATGTGTTTAAAGTATCAAGACTAAATGAAGCTATGGGGGACTAAAAGAAGAGAAGAGATTAGAAACAGGAGGAAGAATGTTGACTATATTCAGCATACATGATATATTTTCATTAAAATAACTATGATATCTTTCTCTATGAACAATAAATATATTCCAATAGAATTATTAGGAATGGTTAATTAAAAGGATATGTTTTATAATTTTAAATATTTTAATTGTATGTTCAGAAATCCAAAGCCTTTACAGTTGCTTATGAAAATAGTTATCTTTTTTAAATCTTTGATAAGAATTTCTATCTTTTACATATCTGCCTATGAGTTTATGTATTTATATTCTAATGGCATGTATGAATGTACATGCTATAACATGCAAGTAGAGATCAGAAGACAACTTTGTGGAGTTGCTTCTCTCCATTTACTTTTATGTTGGTTGTAGGGATCAAGTTCCCTTCATAGACTTTTATGGCAACTGCCCTGACCCACTCACTGAACAATCCCGGGGTCTCTGTCTGTAGTCTTTTACCTGAAACTAAGTAAGAGGCAGAGTAAAAAAAAGAAGAAACAACATCATATTTGCTTAATTCTACTTTAGTATTAACCATCATGATAGATAGCTGCAGAGACCCCTTAGCTGTTCCAGGTAATTATGACAGATTGTTCACTCTGTGTTACATCTTGCTTAGGATAAATAGACCGGAAAGGCAAATATCGATTCAAGGCACACTGAAAAGAACTGGCTTTGCATCAAATACAGGGTTTAATTCTGTTACAAAACCTTCTGTCTAAAATGGAAAATGTGCTTTGTGGTTTTATTCTTTTAAAACATTAAGCTATAATGATAATCATATTAATGCTCGCTATTCAGTGAGCCTCAATTTTATGTTAGTCTATTTGATGTTACTTACACATAGTGCGAAACGTATTTCCAACTTAGTTTTCTGAAATAAATTTTATGATCTAAAAATGCAGGAAGGATGTTAACTTGCAGTGCCATGAAGGAGCAGGCTACAGCGTTTAACATGCCTTGAGTGGTATGGCACAGGAAAATGTTTAATAGATTAGCTGTGTGTTGAAACATCCTCACTAGAAGAGATGTGCAAGGAAACATTTAAGAGCAGGGAATAAGATATAGAGAAGAGTATCACAGGTAATCTCCCCATGAGCACTGACCCTTCTGTTGCCCTATTAAATCTAGTCATTTTTTTTCAGTAAATCAAGATAATTGACAGTAAGTAAGTCTAAGTATCAGACTTAAGTAATTTTATTAATCGTGTTTCAACTAAGTCTAAGAGGAAGATATTTTTCCTTATAAAATATTTGCATTTGTTTCTGATTAGTGCTAATAGTCTGCAATTACTCTAAATTCTTCATTTGTCTGGATATTCAAACCAAGTAAGAGGGGAAAGGAGACTGGTTAGTTTCGCAAACGCTGGTACCTTCAGAAAGTTTTCAGTCAACGGAAGATACAGTAGTAAGACATATTTGACATAGACTATCAAGTTATTGCAGGACAAAAGGCAAACAGTAATAAAAAGATTTACCTTGGAAAGGAAAAAATAAAATTTGGACTAGACAAAGGTAATTTGATGAGGAAAGAAGTAAGAAAATAACTGATTTATGGTGAGCTCCATCTCTCAGGAATTTGTACAAGGTTTACGCTCATGAATCTAACATGTGAGGAGGCAATGGGTAGTAGAACAAAAACATGGTATCACTGTGTATTTAAAACAGGATCTCCATTGTAAAAGAGCCATTAAAGAGGCAAAGTGCACAGCAAAAGAGTTCCTATTCCAATCATGCTCTACTTTCCTTCAGTAAAATCACATGTAGTGAGAACAGTCCGTTTCTAAGCATCTCACAGTTTTCTCTAA